TACCCAAAATCAGGCAAAGCAGGCAGACTGAGTTGCTCACAGAATCATTCAGTGATCTATCTATCTGCCATCGGCTAGCTCAGTCTCTCAAATTTGCTTGCCAAGTCTGCACTGAATTTGCTTGCAAGCAAACCTTCAGTCCTAAGGGAGGTTTGGCTGTATTGAGCAGAAGATCTAAAGACTAGTTAGAAAGCAAGAAATCTAACCATTTCCTGCTTCCTAGCTAATCTAAATCTCCCGGCATAGCAGAACAGATGATGGTCGGAAAAAGGAAAAATAGCAATTTAGCAGGCAAGTTTACCGGGTAAGGAGTGAGTGGGTAGGGAGGGTTCCCATGGGCCATTTGGGCAGCGCAGCCTTGTGTTTCTGCACAGCCTAGATCAATTGCTTTGTGGGGGTGCGATTTCTCTGCGTCCCACCAAAATTTTCTCACGGCCCACTGGTGGCCCGCGGCCTACCGGTTGGCAATCGCTGCTCTATTCCAACACATTTTTTCACAAATCTTGCTGAGCCATTTTGTTTTATTTTTAAAATGTACTTCTTATAAGCTCTTAAACATTGTGAGAACATTCTTGGTTCTGGCAAGATAACATTAAAGTTATCTACTAGGAACAATTTGGCACATTCATCTGGATAGCACAGGAGATAGATTCTACTTTTATCCAGAATGTTTTCATAAGTACTAACCTGGGTGTCATGTATACTGATGTTTACATTTCATACATAAGAACTCATAAATACATGAATTGTAGCAGATGCCAGGACCTTGTTGTCCTTGGCAGAACTTTTTTAAGCCAAGCGAACTTGGACCTGGTTATTATTTGTATGAGAGAATATCAGGAAATTTCTAGGCTAAACTAAAAAGTGTCCTGAAAGAAGGCAATGGAAAGCAAATCCGTACTGTTGCCATAAAAGCAGAAGCATTTTTGTGTACTTGCTAGGAACTGATGCATTGGGGATCTGTATTTAATTTTTGTAATTTTAATTGTTCTTATATTTATAATTGTTTTTAAATTTCTATTTTTATTACATTATAAGCCGCCCAGAATAATTCCGAATACTGAGTTGGGAGGCATATAAATGTAATAATAAAATAAAAATTGAGCTCAATAAGACCTTTTTTATTTATACATCTTTGAATATATATATACTTTCATATTTGTTATTGTATATAAATTTTAGCTAAACACTTTAACAAGCTTACAGTTGAACATTTTCATTTGTGTAAAAGTATTTTAGAGCCTAGGTGCGGATACGTGGAACAATGAAAAACACAGAACCTTCTGTAACAACTTAAAGGGGATCCATACATAGCTACATTAATAGAATATACAGAATAATTTACCTACTGTATCTCCTTATCATCCACAGATCATTGAGCACAACAACATATCAAACATGAAAACAGTAATGGTATTTATTGTATTTTTGAAGAAATTATTTTCAAAATTAATTTGCAGATGTGAAATTGTCAAGAAACTGAAATTAGGACCTGTGGGGTGAGTATTGGAACTGGGTTTTTGCCCGGAATAAACAAAAGATAGATCCCATGAAACTGGGGTCTCCAACCTTGGCAATTTTAAGCCTGGCGGACTTCAATTCCCAAAAGTCCGCCACACTTAAAGTTGCCAAGATTGGAGACCCCTGCCATAAAACATCTGTTACCTTGTTGCTTAAAAGCCCTCTAGCATTGATGGGTCTAATCAAGAGTGGTTGGTTTCAGTGGACGGAAAGTGGGCGTTTCGGATCGCTTCGCCTTGCCTTAAAGAACTACATTACTAAAACCATCAGTGCAACTATAACACGTGAAGGCTTATCAGCTCTTCAAGATTTCACTTCTATCAGCTCCCCCTTCTTTCCAGCATCCATTTCATTGCGCCAGCCCCTTGCTCTGCAGAAATATTTTTCATACAGTATTGGGAGCAGAAGATGGCTAAGAATCCGGCACGGGAAAGAAAAAAGGGGAAGTAGGGGTCCCACGACAAGAAAAGGGGGACGCAACACCGAAACCCATCGTCCCTGGGAAAAATCAGATTCGAGAGCACCTACCGAAGTCATACAGGGAACCGAGGACGGTATCCAGCAACCCTTCTGCAAAAGCGAAGTCTTCCTTCTCGTCCTCTTTGGGCGACGGGCTCTGCCCGCCCGCGCTTCCCACCATGCCGCTTCTTTTCCCCTGCCTTTCCCCTTCCTTTCCCCCAAAGGCGATCACCACCCCAGAGGAGGTTTGGCCCCGCGCGGAGGCCGTCGCGGTCAAGATGGCGGCGCCCATCTGGTACTTCCGCCCTTTTTCCCCGAGTGACAGATTCCCTCCTCCGGCTGGCTTCGCAAAGCAGAGCGGCGAGGGCGTCGACAAGCAGGGGTGGGTGGATGGGTGCTACCGGTAACCGGCGGAGGGAGCCAGCCAGACGAGAGTGAGTACAGCCGGGCACCCCGGCAGGAGAAAGCAGCCTGGCGATGGCCGCAGCGGCCGGGGCAGCCGCTCGGCGCGGCCTCCCTGTATACTCGGTGAGTAGCTGCTTCCCGCTTTGTGGACCGGGAGGCGGGATAGCTTCACACGGGCTGGGGGACGGGACGGGACGGGAGAGACGGGGAGTGCTTGGCAGCCCTGCAGCGCCGTCGGTCAAAGGCCGCACTTTTTACACACACACTCTCTCCCCCCCCCCCCCCCCCCCTCCCTGGGCATCTTTGCGATTGTAGTAACGGGACAGTCGCTTCCTTTTTTGGGCTGGAAGAAGCGTGTACTGCAATGGTTGCCTGGCGCTCAGCAGCAGCAGCGGCGACCGTCGTTCCCGTCCAGTATTTAAAGCCTGTTCCGATAACCTTTTATTGTAGTTGTGTCGAGCCACACTTTTTGCATTCTGGCTGGGGATGATGGGAGTTGTGGTTCCCCACTGCGAACCAGCATCGGGCTGGGGAAGGCTGCCACAGGCACCCGTGCTTTGCCTCTCATATGCATGGATTCAAGGCTTGTTTGCATTTCTTTGTACCCGTGTTGTTGTTCTGGAGTAAGGCAGCACCTGTTAATTGGAATGATCACATTATTAATAAGACAAGCTTTGCCTTGAAAAATATAATAGGGGCTTTAAAACGTTACGATCTTTTGCCATGTAAAATATGAAAATAAGCCGTCGGTGTGAAAACAGTGCATGTACGTGTTGATTGCTGAGCAATGTGTAATCTTATATACATTTGAACAGTTTCGATACAGTTGATACAACTAATGCTTTAATCACAGATATTACTCAGATGATAAAATGGTTGTCCAGACTTATGTTCAAAATATATAGTATGCTGAATGTTCTTTTTTAAAAAAAGGCATATAGGATATAAATAAGATGCAATGTTTTTTGTGGTGGTTAAGATGTTAGACAGGAAGATCAGGTTAAAATCTACCCTCATTGGGTGACTTTGAGTCAGCCACTATTCCTTAAAGTCTACTCTCGACCAAATTATAGAGCTGTTGGTGTGCTGTTTTCAACTACCGAAGAAAAGGTGAGAAATAAATTTAACAAATACCAGTACATTAGTAAACTTTTATTTTATATTTCTTTATTCTTTATATTGCCACCAAAAACAAACCATTAGGCTAGAGAGTATTGTTTTGTAATAGTCTATTTTCTATTCAGCATTTCAGCATGTGTGATCTCGATGGAATAATATGAGATTTATCAAATTGCTTATCAAAAAGTAATAGATTGCTGACTCAATCATAATGTAGGAGGGGTTAGTATCTGTAAATACTGATGCTTATAATTCAGAAATACTTTATTTAATAACCACATCTCAAAATAATTACAATAGGAGTAAGGAATGACAGCACAAAACTGATATATCCATGTGATCTTGGAAGAATCTCTAGCAACCAAAAAGTCTTGAAGTCCTGACAATTGCTTCAATATCTTTAGAGATATTAGATTACATAAGTTTGTCATATGTATGTATAATCTATATATGATATATAGAGAAAGCCAGTTTGGTGTGGTTAAGGCATCAAGCTAGAAATTGAGTTGTAGTCCTGCTTTAGGTATACAACTAGCTGAGTCACCTCGGGCTAGTCATTTTTCATAATCCTAGGAAGAAGGCAGTGGCAAACTACTTCTGAAAAACCTTGCCAACAAAACTACAGGGACTTGTCCAGGCAGCCTCTGAGAATTGGACATGACTGAACAGAAGAAAAAATATATCTTGCTGTCCCACTGGAACAGGGAAGCTAAATACATACTGTGAGTGTTGTACTGCTGGTAACTGGAAAATATGTAAATACTTCCACGGAGTCCCCTTGCTTTTCTCAGTGCTAATGGGAATATGATTGTGCTTTAACTGAGTGGTTTTTCTAGACTGACTTGTGCAATCCTTCATTCTCAGATATTATTAATAAGCATCCTATCCTTCCCTTCTCTTCCCAAGAAGTGAATGCTGTATTATAGCATACAAGTAGTCTTCGACTTACAACCACAATTGAGCCCAAAATTTCTGTTGCTAAGGGAGATAGGCGTTAAGTGAATTTTGCCCCATTTTACAACCTTTCTTGCCACGGTTGTTAAGTGAATTACTGAAGTTGTTAACACAGTTGTTAAGTGAATCTGGCTTCTCCATTGACTTTGCTTGTCAGAAGGTCGCAAAAGGGATCACATGACCCTGGGACACTGCAACCGTCATAAATATGAACCAGTTGCCAAGCATCTGAATTTTGATCACAGTCTGACCATGGGGATGCTCCAATGGGTGTAAGTATGAAAAATGGTCATAAGTCACTTTGTTCAGTCCCGTTGTAACTTTGAACGGTCACTAAATGAACTGTTGTAAGTCGAGAACGGGAAGATTTTAATAGTGCCACTGAAGGAAACAGAACCATGCATCTCTTTGGGTATTCATTAATGCAAAATTAAACTTTCTCTGGGCAGAGCAGTACAGTGACAAATGCAGATTATGCACCTCAGTTTTGGGAAAATATATCTAAGGAAGTTATCAAGACTTTTTTTTATATGGAGTCACAGTATTACATCATCATGTTACCTATTCAGATTAAGAATGGCTCTTCAGAGTTTTGGGCAGCAGCTCCTTCTCACCCTGTGAGATTTGAAAGTGGAAATGTCAGGGTTTGGACAAAGATGTTGTTGGGTATTCTGTTTCCAAATTGCGAAAAAAAGATCTGAACAACAGATTAAAAGTGCCAATTACATAATAGCACGACTGATAAATATTTGAATGTTGCAATTATTTAATACCTATCCATTCTTTCCAAAGGTCAGTTAAAGCTATGTTTTATTGTGTCGGTGTGCCATTAAACTCTGTGATGCCCAGAAACAATCTAGTATAATAGTTTGTATATTCAGTTATAACAATAATAATAATAGCAATAGCACTTAGACTTATATCCTGCTTTATAGTGCTTTCCAGCCCTCTCTAAGAGGTTTACAGAGTCAGCCTATTGCCCCCAACAATCTGGGTCCTCATTTTACCCACCTCGGAAGGATGGAAGGCTGAGTCAACCTTGAGCCTGGTGGGATTTGAATTGCTATTTGAATAATTTGTATAAGTATTTGAATAATCCTGGCTTTGAGATTATTTTTATTGAAAAAAGGATAAAATCTGTTAGAAGTATAAGTAGTCCTTGAATTATGAGTGTAATTTAGCCCACAATTATGGTCTTAAGTCATGATGGTTGCAAAACGGATCACCATGCAGCCAGACCTGATTTTATGAGCTTTTTCACGAGAGTCGTAAAGCAAATGCTGCGGTTGTTAAACGCTATGGAGTGGGTTTTACCAGTAACCAGAAAAATGCTGATTGCCAGCAAAAATGTTGTAAATCATAATCATGTGGCCACAGAAAGCTGCTGTAAATGTGACCTGGTTGCCCAGCACCCAAAATGTAGTCAAGTGACCGGGCGGGTGTGTGTGTGTGTTGTAACTTCAAAACCAGGTTGTAAGTCCCATTTTTGGGGTACATTGTAAATTTGGTCATATGTCGAGAACTACTTGTAAAGGCAGTTGCAGTAAGATGATTCTTTTATTTTTTTGTTTGGAACCTGGCTTAGGCTTTTAAAAGCAAAAATAATAGGAGAAGAACATGCAAACCTTCAAGTTTATGTAAATACCAAACATCTTCTCACCACTCTTTTTAACCTTCAGAAACTAATCTCTAAATTCAGTTCTTTCATGTCTCATGTCAGATTATATTGTAAACCTGAAGGTGTGTCCCATTCTTTTGTTAATTGGTTTAGGAGGCAGAGATTGCTTGAAAGATACAGATACATTAAATAAATCCCAGTAAAATTGGGTAATTGTTTCTGAATCCTTTTTCTCGCACTTGTATCATATTTTAAGATTTTTAAGGAACTCTACTAATGTTAGGGCTTTTACTTAGACTCTACTAATGCAATCTTCTATGTACTCGTCTATGTACATAAATACATGAATAAGTTCCTTTAAATTCAATACTACCTACTATCAGTAAGTAGTTATAGATAAGTTTATGATCCCAGGAATATTTGGTTCAGAGTGTAATTTGTATCAGATCCTGTGCCTTCTTCCCCCCACATGGATCCCCTGAGTGTAATAGTGTTCTTCAGAGCAGAATACCAGATCCTGAAGATTGTGTAAACGTTTTCCACTTCTTCTGGGTTCACATTATGAGGATTTTAGCATTCTATGAACTTTTAAAGTTGGAGTTCTTCCAATGTGCGAGTAGGATGCAAATAGGAGGACTCTGTGTTACAGAACTAGTCAGGTTTAATGTAGCTTCAGATGAAGGAAAGAAGACATGGCGGTATCAGTAGGATACGTTTTCTAGAATGTGTAGATGCCAGAAATAATCCCTTGTGGCTCATTTGTGTGAGCCAACTACATCTTACAAATTGACAGTAAATATTACAAAAGTATTGCATAGTATTTATCACCACAAATCTTAAAAGCTGAACAAAATAGTTAAAGCTGCCATATCTACCTGAGAATAAATCTGCTGTGGTTGCTAGGACTTATTTGATGTGCCTAAATGACCTAAAGCAGGGGTCCCCAACCACCGGTCCGCAGACCGGTACCGGTCCGCGGAACAACTCCTACCGGGCCGCGGCTTGCTGGGCGCCGCCATCTTTTTTTTCATGAAAAAGTGCTTCCGGTGAGCTTTTCCGGGTAGAAAGCTCACCGGAAGCCCTTTTTCATCAAAAAAAGATGGCGGCGCCCAGCTGATGCTGGTACCGGGCCGCGCCGCCCAGCTGATGCCGGTACTGGGCCGTGGTGTCAAAAAGGTTGGGGATCACTGACCTAAAGCATGGTTTCTATTTGCTTGTCTTTTTGAATGTAGGGTAATTCTGTAAAACTCAGGTTTATAGATTGGCTTTCAGATCCTGGTTTCTGTAGAGATACAATAAACTACAACTCTACATTAGAACATAAGGGCCAGTTTGGTGTAATAGTTTGAGGTACGAGGTTAGAAACCAAGACACTCTGTGTTTTAGTCCCTCCTTAGGCACAAATACCTGCTGGATAACTTGTGGCCAGTCACCCTCTCTTAATCCTAGGAAGAAGGCAGGGGTCAAACCACTTCCAAAAATGATGCCAAGGAAACTACAGAATTTGTCCAGGCTGACACCAAGTGTCAACACAGACTTGAAGGCAAGGAAGGAAGAAGGGAAGAAAATAAAACAAATCATAATGCTTACTTCTCTCTCTTTATTTGGTTGCTCACTCATGCAGGTGGGAGTGCAAAAGCTGGAACAATGCATTTTTATATATAGAAGTGTAATAAGCTAGAGTCTTTTACTTAAAACTGTGTGCTAATGTGGCCAGTGTCTAATTCTCATCTGTATTATTCCTAGCAGAAAAATCTCACATCAAAGAAAAAATATGAATTTGAAGATATTTTGGAAGAGCGACGGCAGTCCAGTGACCTCAGATATGCAATGAAATGTTATACTCCTGTTGTTTATAAAGAACTTTCCCCCTGCAAGCCAAGTACCATTAAAAGTATTGTTCTACAGTCTGAGCAGGTTCAGTATGTCATCAGGCAGGTATGGCAACCTTTTATCTGCTCCCCTTTCAGTTGTTTGTCAGCTGGTGTTTATCATGATTTGAACAGTAACTTTGTTACCTACCAATATGCTAATTATGAAATCTTATCCTGGCTCCCTAGTTTTCTTTTTTCTCTTCAAGATTTGTGATTGAACTCTTCCATGACATAATTATGCTTTTTTATTGTAGTTTTGAAGCTCCCTAAAGATATATTTCAGGGAGATTTGTTTGATTTGTGCTGGTTGTAATTAATTTTGTTACAAGTTGTTTGGATATATACCACTCAAGGACATATAGTTCTACTGTCTTGGTAATATGTAATGAGGCTAGTCCCAATTCTTTTCTTGGGTGGGATGCATCCATCCATACAGCTGCTTCTGTTTAATAAAAAGAGTCTGTTTTGTACATGAGTGCTCTTCAGACCCAAATGCCAGGAATTTACTGTAATTATATATCATATTTCTTATATATGATTGAATTTTATAGTTGTTTTTGCATAAACTGTAGCTTGTATACTCTATTTAGAGTTGCCTCAGGCAGTTTATACATTCATAAATAAATGCATTAAAAAGGCATTATTATTTAATCAATTGCAGCTAGTCCTCAACTTATGAACACAATTGAGCCCAGAACTTATGTTGCTAAGTGATAAATTTGTTAAGTGAGTCTTGTCCCATTTCTTGCCACATTTGTTAAGTGGATCACTGCACTTGTCAAATTAATAACAATTGTTAAATGGATCTGGCTTCCCTATTGACTTTGCTTGACAGAAGGTCGCAAAAGATGGTCATATGACCACCAGACATTGCAGCCGTCATAAATATGAACCAGTTGTCAAGCATCTGAATGTAAATCACTTGATCATGGGGATGCTGCAATGGTCATAAGTGTGAAAAATGGTCATACATCATTTTTTCAATGCCATTATAATTTTGAACGGCCGCTAAACGAAATGTAAGTTGAGGACTACCTGTAATGAAAATTAAGCTTATTAATGGCTGCCTTTTATGGTGATTATGTATCTATTTGTCCAGTACTAATTGTTGGGGGGAAACGAGCAGAAAGCGCTGTTATCTCTGATGTCCTTTTTATGGGTTTTAACAGACATTTGGTGGGCCTCCGTGGGGCAGAAGTCTAGGTGTCAAAGTTTTGCTCTGGTTCAACAAGTCCAGAAATTCAGAATATCTGAGGGATGTATTTTTTTTATCAATTAAAGCTCTTGATCTCTGTGCCTAGGTATCAAAAGAGACTGGTGAATCCCTTGATATTATACAAGAAGAGGCAACAGAAATTCTGGATGAGATGGGACACGGCATGAATATGGGAGCTGTTCGTTTTTTTGCTTTCGCTCTGAGCAAAATCTTTAAATGCCTTTTCAAGAGCGTGTATATAAATGAAGATGGTATGCAAAAAGTAAGTCTGTATGACTACTTCCTGATAAAATAGCATTTTATATCAATGCAGTCAGGGTGAATTAATGCAAGAATCACTAATTACAGGAAGCTTTCCAAATTCCTTGGGTTGTGCATTTGTTATCCCATTAACATACTCTTCACTGAAAGTTGTTAAGTGTTGTGGATCGTCATACCAAGATGGAGAACAAAGAACTGAAAGAAATGTGACTGCAGATGTCCATATGCAACAATAAATAAACATTAATTTTTACAAAAACTATAAAAATTAATATGGAATTGGAGTAAACTGCAAAATAATTCCAAGAGTCTGTTTTGCTTTAAAATGTGTGTCTCGCTACTGACAGCTGTAAAGGCATCAAAAATAGTAACCTATCATCAGCTTGTTTGTAAGCTATCAATAAAATCCAAAATGCCAACATTCTTTTCCTGCTGTTCTTAAATATGCCCCACAAAGATTGAGGTCCTGTTTTGATTAGCTCTTTCCTACCATTGCCCAGCAACATGATGAGTCCTAGCTAACTTGGATTTAGAAAGTTAAGTAGACCTAGCTTTGAAGGATGGGGACTCTGATGGGATGTTTAGGGCTTTAGGTGAGACCAAAAAAATAAAAAATAAAAATCCAGGAAGAGGTGGTAAACCACTTGTGCCAGAAAATGGTGTGGATGAGACTGTGTAAGTTACTACCGTAGAAATCAAGTTATTTCTTTTCCTATCCTTAGAAATCATAATTGAAAGGTGAAACTGAATTCATTTTTATTCCAGCACATTTCCATTTTAGTGCATTATAGTCTCTGCCCACAACAGATGCCTTAGCAGAGATGATTCTTAAAAAGGATTTCTTTATCCTAAACAGGGGAAGTCTCAAGGCATAAACAAACCAGACTCCCACAGCCAAGTATAATAGCTTCTGGGAGGTAGGTCATTGTTTGCTCAGTGTTGATAAGTACTTAACTAGTTGATAAGTACTTGGAATATTTACCCAGCTGGTAGAACATTAGTTCAATGAGAGAAAATCTCAGTAACCAATTATGTGACTCAATTCTTTATTTAAAAACTGTAATTTTTCACTATGCTAGATATATAGTGTCACAATTATGCTTAACATTGAGGGACTGTAGATTACTTCGTGGGGCATATAGGAAAAGCTATAGCGGGTGAAGAACAAGGAACAATTATGCAAACAAAATTTTTCTTGCATGCTATTGCTTTAGATCACGGGTGTCAAACTCGCAACGTCACGTCGTCACATGACATATCGTGACATTTTTCCCATTCGCTAAACGGGGGGTAGGAGTGGCCAGCGCGTGACGCATCCGGAACACAGGCCATGAGTTTGACACCCCTGCTTTAGATAGATGGCATCAAAGTTCCTACAGTTTTTCTCTATATGCAGAGCAACAGCAAAACAATATGTATTCTAAGGTGAACAAAACTTTTTAAAAAGCAAGAATTAAGTTGGTAAATGAAGACAAGTGTAAAGGTGGGGTGGAGTTAGTGACAGCCTGTAGACAGCTCTGTCACCTTAAAAATGGACAGATCTATTCTGGGAGCATGTAATTATGCCATGTTTTCATCATAAGCTACATGACTGAAGCAATGCTAATATTATGTGGAAATGTGCTTTAGTGTAAAAAATGATACTTCAGGCGGTTTTCCTCTAACAGTCAACTTTTCCATAGAAAAGGTTTTTTGCTTAAGTCACATGTTGAAGCTGATCTCATTTTCTCTGTTTTTTTTTTTTTTTTTTTGCTTTCTCTTTGCTGCTTTCTAAAATAAACTAGTTTTCAGCACTATGTGGGTAAATAGGTTTGTCATAGTATCAAAAGAAAGTGTTCAGGTGTGCCTGTTCTATTTAACCACACTTAGCCTATCAAAAACCTAGAATTAACCAAATTCATAGTTAGAAATATGTGATGAGGATTTCGTCTTAGAAGTATTACAAAAGTTGGTTGCAATTGTAACAGATCTATAAAGTGAGGGGGGGATTTATGCAAGAGGGCTTAATTTTGGAGTGCTGTAGGCTTATGTCTGTAATAGAATTGCCCAATTTCTCAATTTCCTATACCTTCTCCACCTCAACCACAAAATTTGCTGGGGAGGATTTGAGTATTTGCATTTGGAAGATTAATTGATAGGTGATTTTGAGTTGGAAGATGAAAACCATTGTGTTTTGCCAATTCTTTCCCAAGTGCATTTATTTATCTGATCTTGTATTTTTTTTGTCAAAATAAGTTGGGATGTGAAACGGATTGATTTCATATTGGTTCATATTCATATTTTCACAGGCATATTTAAGGAAAGGAATAAGGGTAACATTTTAGAAGTTTGGCAATTGCAGTAATCAAAGATTTGGGTTGAAATTGTCACTTTCATAGGTAAAACTTTGACATAAAATCATCCTCAAATAGGGTTAACAAATAGATTGGATTTTTAACATATTACAGTTGTTAATTGATAAGGTACTTGTGTCTCTCACATGTAACCTTTCATCTATATAATCATCCCGTGTTCCTTTCCCTTTCGCCCACCTCGTTCCATTGTACATCCTACATCAGCTTAACCTCTTCATGGATCTGATGAAGTGAGTCCTAGCTTATAAAGCTTATGTCTTTTAATAAATTTTGTTAGTCTGATAAGGTGTTACCAACTCATTCTGAAAAATGATCAGAGTAGATCATTTTTTAATTATATATTAAAGTATTTGACTCTTGACTGTGCAGTTTTCTTGAATTCTGAATCAGCCACACCTGGAAGACACCAGGCTGAGGAAGGCTGTTTATAAATCACAATGTTCCATATTGAATGATAAGACAAACTTTGCTTTGCTTATGCTGGGAATGTATGGGGATGTTTAAGTTTATTACCTATCTACCTACATACATACATACATACATACATACATACCTACCTACCTATGAACTAATTTGAACTTTGGACAATGCAACTGAAGTCACCCACCATTTTTTCCAGATGGGAAATGATTGGGAATTACTTAACGCAAAATACGTTGCATGCTGGTTTGGGGGGGAGGAAAGCAATTTAAAAAAAACAATCAAAGGGATTGTTATCAGTGAAATATGGGAAAAAAGAGTTGTGAATTATAAACACCCCATTGTTGTTGTCCCGTCAAGGTACAGGGCTAAATCCCATTTTTTGCACATTTAGTCCTTATATAGCAGTTGGTTGTAAGCCGCCCAGAGTTGCCCTGTGCTAAGATGGGTGGCCAATAAATTTTATAAATAAATAAATAACGTAAATAAATATGCCTTCTGAATTCTGGTCTTCCAGAATAAATTTTAGGTTAAAGGGAAGGTTGCAGGTGAGCCATAGGAAATGCAATCTGTGGCCATCATTAATGGTAGAGAGTTGCAGGTAGATGTAGCCCATGGATTTCAATGCACAATGTGCATCTCTTCATAAAATTAGCATTTTAGCTTGTAGAAAACAATTGGCATAGTTGTAGTATGTGTTTTGGTAAAACATTGCCTTTTTAAACAAAACGTGATTCACAATCTCTCTTAAACTTTATAGTAATAAATAACATGTGTCCTGTTAGTTACAACAGGCAATCCGAGAACATCCTGTTGTCCTGTTGCCCAGCCATCGAAGCTACATGGATTTTCTCTTACTGTCCTATGTGTTCTTTAGTTATGACTTGGCTTTGCCCGTCATTGCAGCAGGAATAGGTAAACCTTTTAATTTTCTTAGAATTTGCTTTCAGTTTCCAAAATGTTATGTTAGTTGAAGCTGGCTTGATCTGACTGTTATAAAACTGTTATAAAAATATTTCTCCTTTCTTCATCTTTCTTTATGATCTTTGTGTGTTTATTGTAAATCATTATACTTCTGGGCAAAAAAACTGTTGCTGAAAAAAACATTCAAAAAGGCTGAATTCACAGCCCTCCTCCTGTTCTCATCATATAAAACAGAGTAACTTGTTTTAAGGTAATTGAAATTTATGAGTGAAAGTAATCCATATTCAGAAATTACTTTGAACTTCAAAAATAGCTTCTAATATACATGAACTTGTAAAATTTAATAAACACAAAGTGCAAATGACCACACAATGCCACAAATAGATATAAAAACTGAAGCTCTTCAATTACTTTTTGAGTAGTTTGTAAAGATATATAAATTGTAACATATTAAAATGTTTAGCATGTTCTGAATACCTACATTTTAACTTTTTAATGCAAATCTGAATTGAAGCTAACTTTGATTTAGAAACATTTAATGGCAGTTCAGATTAGACAATCAATTGAAGAAGCAGAAGATATTAACTAAGCAGGGTTTCATTGATAGCCAGCTTTTCAAGGCACAGATGTTAGTTAGGTCAACAACCATCACCCATGTTCCAAGTCAAGACACATAGTCCAAAAGTCAATTGAACAACGAGATAAAGCAAGAAAAAAAGGGGGAATAATGGACATAAAAATGTGATTTTTTATTAGCCATGTGTGTGTCTAATTAATCCATGCAAAGCATCCAGGAAACTGTACCAAGATCTAGTGAGTGAGTCACATAGATTTTCCTTGATGGCAAGATTCTGTTAATGTAATTTTACAATAAAGTTAGAGCTAGCACTTCTGTAATTACCAAACTATCTTGCAAAACTGACAATGATTGACTTCTTTCATCTATCCTGTATGCTTTTGCTAGATTTCCTTGGAATGAAAATAGTTGGTGAGCTGCTTCGAAAATCAGGTGCCTTTTTTATGCGACGTACATTTGGTGGAAACAAGCTATATTGGGCAGTGTTTGCTGAATATGTCAAATGTATTTTAAAGGTGAATAACTTTAAAACAGCCAGTAATGTTGTGTTGGTTTTTGCTAATGGTAGATACTTCATCGGCATGATGTAAATATATTTCTGTTTAATTTTAGATTTTGGAAATCAGAGCTACATGTTTTTCCTCTTAATTAAATTTTCGATTATTGCTGTTTTAGATCCCCCCCCCCAATTTTATGGATTGCTTGTCTGAAAAATGTATATGTCTTGTTTTGCTAATTGTTGACCTCTCTTCTCTCTCTTTTCCTCTCTCTCAAGAATGGACATGCCCCTGTTGAGTTTTACGTTGAAGGTACTAGAAGCCGTACTGCAAAGACATTGTCTCCAAAGTTTGGTATGTTGGTCAAAAAGTTATGGCTGCTGTAGGCACATATTATTTATTTTTGGTACAATGTGGCTGTGAACATTTTAATTTATGGTAGAAATCTGATAGGTGTATCTAATGGACTTCTTAAAGCAGGGGTCCCCAAACTTGGCAATTTTAAGACTTGTGGACTTCAACTCCCAGAAGTCTCTTGGCAACTGCAGAATTCTAGGAGTTGAAGTCCACAAGTCTTAAAGTTGCCAAATTTGGAGACCTCTGTCTTAAAGGCTGGAAGGTTCCATAAGTTTACAGGGCCAGAATGTGTTCATATTTCCTTCCATATCAGGGAAGTATCTCCCTGCTTCAAGAGGCAATCAGCATTACAAGCAATGGACCCTTATAATAATGAATATAGTGGCAAGTGAGATGCTAAAGAACATTTAATTTTCAAATTTCTGTAACTAGACTGTCTTTCCTTTTAGTAACTTTGGTTCATAAACTTTGGGAGAATCTAACCTTATTTATGAACAGCTGCTAGGGACTGACACACGTGCCTGAAATGGAAGATGTGTTCAATTCTTTGCATAGAACAAACAGCTTGTGACTTGGGCATTTAGTCAGGCCATTCCAGTCTAGCCAAACTGAAACTCAGAAAATATTGCTGCCTGGTTTGAGTCAAAATTTATGTTGCTAAGCATATCTGGTAGGACATCTGGGTGAGTAAAGCTAGGCTTGTGTATCTCATCCTCACCTCCTTTCTTCAGCATGTGCCTCTCAAACTTTCCCATCACATATGATAATGATGATGGTGGTGGTGGTGGTGTTATCCATTCAGTTATGTCCAACTCATCGTAATGCTGTGGACCAGAGCCCTCCACCTCTTCCGATCTTGCACTACGTCGAGTTGTTCTTTGCTTTAACTGATGTCAGCTTTGACGGTGTCCATCCACCGTGTTCTTTGGTGGCCTGGCTTCCTTTTATCAGTAACTCTTCCAAGTATAATTGCTTTTTCCAGTGAATTCCCTTGCATTGCGTGATCAAAATAAGTGAGATGCAGTTTTGTGATTTTGCCTTCCAGTGACATGCCTGATGTTAAGTGCCCCAGTACTTCCTTGTTAGTCACCTTTGTGACTAACCAAGGACCCACTACATATGGCAACTGCCAATTGCCTGCCTCAATCTTGCAGAGTGGTTGTTTTTTTTTTTTTTTTGCCTTATTTCCTTTTAGTTGGGAACTATATTTATCCCTACTCCAGATACTCAGGTGGTGATAGCCCCTTCCCACTTCTTCCTTTTCCCTTACCTTGTTTTAATCTCTCTCCTACATCCTGTCTAGCACTTGCTGTTCTATCTGTTCTGGAACATCTTGTCCAGTGTATCTGTTTCAGTTCTGTGCCTGGATCAAACACATATTATATTTTCCAACTGTGTTAAAAGAAGACTTATCTGGACATGGACTGATAAGAACTGCTTGTTCTATGCATGAAATGGTTCATATGCAGAATCTTTTGCACAGCCCTAAAATCTAGGGTTGAATTCCTACATGAAGATTAGGTATCAACTTAGATTTCTTTTTAAAAGGCTTTTTTGTACTTCTGTTTTATTTTATTTTTAAAAAGGTGTTCTTTGTATCTGCAGGTCTTCTCAATATTGTGATGGATCCTTTTCTTAAAAGGGAGATTTTTGATATATATCTTGTCCCAATCAGTATCAGTTATGAGAGGGTGTTGGAAGAATTTCTTTATGCATATGAACTTTTGGGAGTCCCTAAACCAAAAGAGTCTACATCGGTAAGGAATCAAATTGGCGTACTTGTGGGGGAAATGTTGGATCCTGTCTTGCCACTTCCTGTGGTCTGCAGTGATTATAATACTAAACTGTAAATCAGCATTATGAAAATAAAATAAGCTGGAGTGTGTTTAGGTGTCACCTCATTTTCCCTTTTCTTTGTTCAGTGCAGCTGCAAGAGGAAATTGAAAATTTAGATTAATCGCAGCCAATTTTAAACCATAGTTTATGATATTGGTTTATTTCAACTAGGCATAATTAGGAGACTGAACAGTGTACAAAACTGGTTAATTAAAATGAAGACAGAAGCTTCCCACCTCTCTAGAGTTATACCTAAGAAGAAAAGAAAGAAAGAAAAAGAGAATTCATTGCTTTCTGTTTTAATTCATACTATGCTAAATTGTAGTTGGTGAGTCTATTTAGGGTACCACTCTTCACCAGCCACTTCAGCTTTACTTCTGTAAAATAATAAAAAATAGCATTATACCTCAGACTTTTAGAAATTTAAGAAGCAGTACAGGTTGTCCTCGAGTTATGACCAAAATTGAGCTCAAAATTTCTGTTGCTAAGCAGGGAAGTTGTTAAACGAGTTGTGCCTCATGTTATGACCTCTTTTTTGCCACAATTATTTAAGTGAATTGCTGCAGTTAAATGAATCATATGGTCATTAAGCAAATTTGGCTTCCCCCATTGACTTTACTTGTTAGAAACTGGCTGGAAAGGTCAACGGTGATCATATAATACTGGAACAGCATAACTATCATAAATGCATGCCAGCTGCCAAGTGCCCAAATTTTGATCATGTGGCCATAGAGATATTGCAATGGTTGTAAATGTGAAAAACAGTCATAAGTCACTTTTTTTTAGTGCCATTGTAACTTTGAATGGTCACTAAAGGAAAATTTGTAAGTTAAGGACTGCCTATATTGCAGAAAGCTGGCTGGGGAACTCTGGGGATTGAAGTCCACAAGTCTTAAAGTTGTCAAGGTTGGAAACCCCCATTTTAGAATATGCTTTTTTTAGCAGGCCTGGGGATCTTTGGGAACGGGAGTGGGGTGGAGGCTGCAAGATAACTTTATTATGTATGGGTTTTTAAACACTCTTCTGTGGTTCTGCTCATATGCCTGTTTCTTGCTTTTTCATGGCTATTTTAAGATACTTTTTTATTGTTTTGCTTTTATTGTATGTTGTCCAGAAATCACATTTGTGAAATGGGCTCCTGTGTAAAATCTTCAAAATTGTAAGTATCTATGTTACATTTATTTTTATTTCATTTCTATTCCTTAGGGACTCTTGAAAGCTAGAAAAATTCTGAATGAAGATTTTGGAAACATACATGTGCATTTTGGGCAGCCTGTATCACTCAGAACATTGGAAGCTGGAAGAATGAATAAATATCCATTTAATTTAGTTCCAAGGTATACATTTCATGGTTGAGTATTTTTAATAGCTCGCAAGGGGGGAAAATGGCTTTGGTATCTGTGTTTCATAGAGCTCTTATATTATCTGCAAAAATAACCATTAAATGGCAATGCAGAGAAACTCTTTTCTCTTCATTTGCTTCTAGTGATTGTTCAGATGTCTCTAACCAGATCAGTAGTTTTGTTTTGTTGCATTCTGAAATCATTGGATAACTGGAATGTAAGAGGGTTTGTGTGTGTGCGCGTGTGTGTAATAGAAACTTGGAAAAGGCTTTATTAAAAGATGAGTTGCTTTAGAGGGGCTGAAAGATTCTTTGTAAAACAAAACCAACCAAGGACTTTTCTATGCTTCAGTTAAAGCTGAAAAGGGATTGCAAGATAACCATTATAAGTGTTTTGCTCATTGTACATTTTCTTTTTAGGCACATTCCCCAAAAGCCATCTGAAGAAATACAGAAATTTGTCACTGATGTAGCCTACCAAATAGAGCTCTTACAAATAGAAAACATGGTACTGAATCCATGGGTGTTGATTTGTACTATCTTGCTCCAGAATTTACCAGCTATAGATTTTGAACTTCTGGTGGAAAAGACACTTTGGTTGAAAAATTTAACTCAGCTATTTGGAGGATTCCTAGACTGGCCTGGTATGCAAGCACACTTGTACATCCTTTCCTTTTCTGGAAGCAGAATTGTTTGTAATATTCTGTGCTTCTATTTTAGGATAATCAAATACTAGAATTACTGCTGAAGAATATTTCTTGGAATGCTAAAAGTCTTATCATTGTCTGATTATCATGGAGAATAAAAGGAATGTTTTTTTAAAAAAATAGATTTAAATCCTATTTTTATATAGCACAATTCGAGGCAGTGTTCATCATGTACCCTACTCTTATTTTCCCCACAACCCCATGAGGTGAGCTGAGCTTAGCGAAAAGGACTGGCCTAAAGTCACCCACAAGAGTTTCTGTGCCTAAAAGGAACTAGAACTCATGGTCTCCTAGTTTCTAATCTGACACCTTAACCACTGCACCAAAATTGAGTTATGTCCTAGTGAAAATCCCAATAGAGATAAGATTTGATGAATTTATCCAACCCTTGTTTAGGAGCTGATTTGACTTTCAATTATGCATTAAAATGTTATCATTTACAAGTAGAAGACATTATGAATCATTTTTTAAAAATGTTTTATAATTCATTTTTTTTAAAAGTGTTCTGGCAAACTTAAACAAAACCCTTCCCTGCCCATAAGCCCATTCTAGTTTGTCATTACAATAAGGTCACAAAAGTCAGAATTAATATTATTTGGGGAAGAGGACAAATCTTCCTCAAGTCCTGTTTTTCCTGATGCTTAATTGCATCAGGGTTTTTTTTGTTCTTTTTCACTAGTTTGCCATACAATATTGTAGATATTTTTGTTAGCTGCTGCCGAGGGCAGGAAATAGAATACCGTTGTATACTGCTAGTTGTTTGGGGTGGTAAGTGGAAATCATGATTACTTAATGAGCAAGTTCCCAGTTCAGATATCTTTCTCCCATGTACATAAATGTGGTTCTTCTTTCCAGTTTTGCCTCTGTTTGTTAGAGGTTTTGTGCTATGTTTGCCTTTGATTTTCCTCCTTGCACTTTTGTACATTTCACAAGAGGCGATTTCGCTGTTTCCAAAATGTTCTAATATGAACTAATATAAAGCCTGGGAAGCTTTTCTTTAAACAAAAAACAAGCAAATTAAAAGAAAACCTTGCACATAGACCACTTCAGCTGAAAATGTCATTCCCCAATGTACCAGCAACAGCAAAGAATATATTTGTTTTGGATAAATCCTCACTTTTAAAGTTTTGAAACTTGAGGCAAAAACCTTTAGCCAGAAGTCTTGGCTGCTGTTTTCCTTTTATTTCTTCATTCTTTGGTAAGTTTAGGAATGTTTTTTAAAGGGTAATAAGAACAGAGTAACTCCTCGAAGCTAAGTCTTTTGGACATTTTTATTTTCAAAAAGATTTTCCCCCCTCTCCCCGAACATTCCTCAAACGCTCAGAAAGGCTCAGTCCATTTTGAATGCCAAGACTGGCTATTGTGAAAATACATTAATTGCTAGACACCCTCCCCCTCATCAATTTATTTTCATAGTAAAGCAGAGAGCTAAAAGCATATCACTGTAGCTACTGATATTCCTTTGCATTTGTTTATTGTTGTTATTGTTAGATAATCTTTGTGCCAGCAAAGCTGTAAAATCCGCCTTGGCGCTGCATTCCAACATTGCCAGCTTGGTTAATGGGCAAGTGATCGTCAATAACAAAGAAATGGGATTTGTTACTACAGAGGACCCTGTGTTTAGGCACGCCTTCTCCAGCCTCCTGTGTGGCTCCTATAGGAATCAGTTGCTTAATGTCTTTGTGCGACCAGCTCTTGTAGCAATTGCATTGCAAATCACACACAGTTCCCGAAAAGGTAATTTTCACTTCTCTACTATAATTACAAAGCCGGTAATCTAAATCACAGATAAACCCCCGTGGCTCAATTGCATAAGTCACTAAGTAGACAAACATTGAATTTTAGTCCTGTCCCTGGGCCCAAGAACTCAACGCATGGAGAGAATACAGGTGCACGCAGATAAACATGTTTTGTGAATAGCTAAAAAGGAGCTTTTTCAGATAGAAATCTTCCTTGGGCTAGGTTTTAAGCCTATGAGCTAATCAACACTTTGTAAATAGAATTGAGCTCATGCAAGGCAAGTTACTTTCTGAGCAAATCTTGTCTTTCACCTTAGAACATCTTTGTGGGTCTCTTAAAACCTCGGTAACAGAAGGGAGATTTTCAGGAAGAGGGGCAAATAAATGTGCCGGTGGTATTAATTCCAATAGTAGAGACATACAGTGAGACACAATTGTCTGGTTTTTTTCCTGACATCTTTTTGTTCTCTTTATTCTGCAAGTGAATAAATGGTATCAATTCAATTGAGTTCAGTAAACCATTTCAGCAAGCCGTAGCATCCATTACGCACACACATTAGTTTAGCATAAGTAAAATGTGAAATTTGAGTAAGTTTGAAAATCTTCAAGGTAGCATTGATAGGGTTTTATATTCTATACACATGTACTCTTCCCATAGCCTGACTAATTGGGACTCTGGGCTGAAGTATTTCTAAGCCTTGTAGATTCAATTGGAGTAATTTCTGTGCAGCTTTAGCCACGATTCCAGGCTTTATTCATCAATGCATAATTCTGCAACAACTGTTTGCTGAAGGCAGTGGATAGCTACAAATGTTATTTCTATTGTTTGCCATTGGAACAATCATCTTGTTTCTCTGGAATTCTGAATCATTTCAGTGGGTTTATGCAAGAGAAGCTTCCGAATGCATTTCCAAATTATGTCCACAATGTGCACATTTTCATTTATCAAGCAATGGTTCGACTGTATGTTTATACATTAAATAGTATCTTTTGCATTTATCTTTTAATAGCAAAATTATTTGAAGAAAGGTCTTACTCATAAAACAATTATGTTTTCCAGAGGAGGTCTATAACCAATTTTCATTCTGGCGTGATGTTTTTTCTGAAGAATTTATCTTCTTTCCTGGAATATCCCTGAAGGTAAACTGTTAAGTTTTGAGCTCTTAATATTTGAGGGAATTTGTCACGACTTATTTGAGATTAAGACTAGGGACAGTTTTCTACATTGGGAGTTTGTTTTAAAAAACTTTTCTTTTTGATATTCTTTTCTATGAAAACAAAAAAGCAAAATATAAACAAAAAATTTTGAGTATTTTGAGCTTGAAACAAAGCTGATCCAAATTTAAAAATCCTGGATTTCAAGCTCAAAGCATTTCCAGAGCACTAAGAGTTTCTAGTTTCTCAGTTGAACCAGAAGTTCTACAGATGGGACACCTTTCATGAAGTTTCAGACTCAAAACACTCTGAAGGTAACATTTTGCAATTCGCAACCACCATCCATATATTTTCTCCTTTATTTTAATCACTCAAAAAAATCATTATCCATTGGTAAACAATATTCAAAGTTTTTCAAACTTTCTTTGCATTAAATAAACTTTTGTCTAGTCATCTCCGAATTATTTTTGCTTACATTGATATCCAATTATGAGTGAGTGTTTTTCAGGTAACCTAAGTGTTCCACTGATAATAATAGTTTTAAATAGGAAAATATCTAAAAGATTAGACAATGGAAACAAAAAAGAACCAAGAGGTCATCAGTTTGCAGGATCATTTTAAATGGGTGGAATAACATTCTTGTCTCCCATGAGCTCCTTCCTCCATGCCTTCAACCATCTCTGTAATCTAGTTTTTTTAAATTTCTCATATAACAATCCCTGCTCTTTTTCTTCATTTTTGTCCCAAATTTGGAGAGCTTTCACTTCCCCATAACATTTCCACTACAGTTACTCTTATCCTAGGGTGTTACCTCCTCTGCCCACTGCTTGGATTTGAGACCTTGCCACATTTAATTCACACCCATTTTGACCCAGAGGAAAACCATAATGAATAGGCTGGGAGAAAAGTATGTGCACAGCCACAAGTTTGCTTTTTTTTTGTTTTAGGAGAGGTTGCTTCAGGCCATATTTTCTCCCAAGTGTGGTTACTGGGCCATAACAGTCCTTCACTTTGCTCTTGCATAAGCCAAGTCACAACTGTTTGCTATGGACATTGTAGTGTAATTCAGTTACTCTGCCTCTTCAGGTTGAAAAGGCACTTCATCTTGCCTTCAATATAATATTTCAAGAATCCTCAAAGTAGCACAAAGTGCTCAGTTTCAAAATGCTCAAGTTCATTTCAAGTTCTGTGCCCCCCCCCCCTTTTTTTTTTTCTAATTTTGATACGGAAAACTCTTTGACAAATTATTTTTCTTCTGCCCTGGAAAAACTAGTTGCACTTGTTTGAAAGAGCAGACGGGAGCAAAACTGCCAATGGAAGACCCAGAATTCTAGGAATGGGGAGGGGGAGAACCAGTGATCCGATAATGAGCGTGATTCCAGAGCATTCCTTGATCACACTGATGATTTTCAGCTATATGACTTTTCCACAACTTTTAGAAAAATAAACATACAAAATAGGATGATTAAGTTTCCACGAGGTTTTAGTATACATACTTTGTTCCTTTACCTCCCTCCTGTCCCCAAAACAAGTAGAAAAAGGCTACCAACTAAACCCTTTCTGCCTTGAGGGGACTGCAAAAATTACACGGAAAAAGGTTGGCCACCTCTGGTTTAAATCCAGATTATTTACATAATGATCGCAATGGACACAGAAAGCGTATCAATGAAAACGTGGAGGAAATGAAAAGTTAATCTTCTACCATACTCAAGCCTAAATTGTGGATATTCTTAATTGCAGCTGGTTAAAGGGAAATACTTTCATTGGTTATATTCTGGGTTAAAATGGACCTGTTTCAGATTAGCCATGGTTTGCTGAACTGATAATCTGCAATCATTCAAAGCTGCTGGGAAAGCCCTCAGGAACTATCTTGAAATTGTATTGGAAAGGGTGGGGCATATGAGTCCCTGCCTTTCTGGAGATGATTCCCGCCTCACAATCAGGTTGTTCCAATTAGGTCGGGTGCATTCCAGCTTATAATTCTTCAGTCAGTGTTAACTGGGAAAGAAGAATGTTGTAATGCAATGGTTCTGATTGAAGGTTATTGTAATTGGCTATAAAACAGTCTCAGCTACTATTGCAGCTAGAAAATAAACACATGGAGGATTTTAGAAATATACATTATTTATTGTTTAAGCAAGAGTTGAGAACCTATGCTGCACTACAACTCTCAGCAGCCCTATATAACTGGTGATGAGGTCTGCTGGAAGATGTAGTTTGATATCTGAACTTGCAACTGGTTATTTACTAGCAAGTTTTCTGAGCCAAACCTTGCTCATAGTTACAGAAAGTCTTCTTTCTTTGGTTAGTAGGCACATAGGCATTCTCTCTCTCTCTCTCTCCCTCCCTCCTTCCCTCTCTTTCTCTACCCTCTCCTTCTCTCTCTTTCTCTCTCTCTCCTTCCCCTCCCAAAGGGATGAATGGTGTAGGCACCATTGAGGCCAGGAACGTCATGCTCTTATCTGTCTGCGAACTATTCCTCTTTTTTTTTCTTAGCCCACTTTGGAAAGTAGTTCATATTCATTCTGATTGGAAGGTTTTGTCTTTGTATTGAATCTCTACGTTGTTAAATTAGATTAGAGTCAATATATTGCTATTTTTATGATTTCATGTTCCTGCTATTTTATTAGAACATGTATTGTCCCTTTAATACAGTTTATGAAGGTTGCTCAGAATCAATTGGAATTGGAGTAATTTATAAGCCCGTAAAACAAACAAACAAACAAACAAACAAATATAAATTCTTCATGTCATACGAAACACACATTGCATTGTTGAGTTTGGGGGGTAATTTTTTAAATGCTGTAATTCAATTCCCTCATAAAAATATATTGAATCATGCCTACAAGGGTTTGGTTTGTCTTTAAGGTGCTGTTAGAATGTACAGTAGTTGTATACATATATGGAATAACAATTATTCAAAAAGTGTGTAATCTGAGTATAGAAATGGGGCTGTGTGTCAAACTGGAAGTACTTATGTAACTTGCATTTCCATTTCCTGTTTGGAAATTATTCAAAATCCTAGTAGAGGTGAGACAGGAATTTTAAAACACACACACACACACACACACACACACACACACACACACACACACA